AAAAAAAAAAAAAAAAAAAAAAAGAGATCATCCTAAAGTGCTGGGATTACAGGTGTGAGCCCCCACCCAGCCAATGGCTCCTTCTGGACCCTCAAAGTTTTGCTCAGAGAAGCCTCACCCCCTCTCCAGTGCTCTTCTGACTTGGCAGCCCACTTTCCTCACTAAGCACAAGTCTCTATCCTTCCTTAGCCCAGTCACTGGCCCGCACCTCTAGCTGCCCACACTCTGAGACACCAGTTTCCCCTCAAGATTTCAGTGACCACCTTCATGAGGATGGCTCCAGGATCTGGTTCCACCCCAGGTTGCTACTCTGAGACTCAGCCCTCTGGGTCCAACCACCAACTGGGTATCTCCTCTTAGATGTCCCCTAGACCCTCAAGTCTCAGCATTTTTCTTCTCTTCACAGGCCACATATATCCCACCTTGATACCCCAAGCCAGAGCCTCAGCCTAACTTTTCTCTCTACCTCTGTCCCCTGTTCCAGGACCAGGCCTCTGCCCTCTCTCCTGTTTGGACCACAAGCCATATCCTTCCTCTGAACACTTTGCTTTTGTGACCTTCAATTTGAGCCTGGCACATCCTTCACTCAAAACTCTCCCATGGCTCCCTATTGCCTGTAGGACAAATTCTTAGCTCTGTGGACTGGTTGGAAGCTCAGCACCTACTGGCCCAGCCAGCTTCACCTCCTCCATTAGTTCACACCCCTCCCCCAACTCCAGACATACCGATTATCTAATTTGTCCTTTTCCACCTCTGGGCCTTTTCTTGTGCGGTTATCTCTTTCTGGAATTCCCTCTCCATCCTTTTCTGCCTGGAGAAAGTCCCTTCCTTCTAGGCACAAGCCAAAAAACCATCTCCAAAAACGTTTCCCCAGCTTCCCTTCTCCCCACCTCCCAACATTGAACACAGGCTGCCTGACATTGGTAGATAAATGGATATTTATTCTATAAACATTTCTCATGGCCCTAGAGAGGACTTAGACTCAGGCCTTGCCAGGGATGGCCTCCCAGGACAGGTAGGGGAGACAGAGCTGAACACTTTCCCTCCAGGGTCGCCTAGTCAGTGTCAGGACAGGAGACTCCTAAGGCTGAAGGGACCCAGAGAGGGGAACAGGGTGCTTGCCTTGTGAGTCAGAGAAGGCTTCCTGGAGGAAGGGATCTTTACCCATTGGTCTGTAGATCCTTCAGCCAGGCACACTCCACAGGTCAGGGTAAAGTCAAATTTGTGGATTGCCTGAGAAGCCACAAGACCACACACCCATCCCTTGGTGTATGCGATCTGCCAGGAAGGAGGTGTTTTTGCTCGGAGCAGCAGCGGGTGGGGCGCCCCCCTGCTGAGAGTATTCTGAAATGATGGGGGACTCTTGGCAGCTCACTACTCCAGAACCCCCCCAAATGCCACATCCGCCCATAGCAGGAAGCATGAAAATAACCCACCAGGCATGAGTTTCCTCCTTATATCGCCAAGAAAACTTTCCCCAACAAAACTCCTTTGCCATCCATGGCATCATACACGTCTCAGGGTCTCAGTTTTCCCATCTACAGCTGAGGAAAGGAGGTTAGCTGCTTCCGATCTCCCTCCTCCCCCTATACAGAGAGGCTCAGCTTCTGGTTCCTGACTGGGATTTTATGATGTGGATGTGGGTTTTTTTTTTTAAAGAAAAAAGCTGAGAAGCAGCGCTGGGACCTCAGATTGCTCAGACCACCTTAAATCAGCCTCGGCACCCCAGCTACTGTGGAAATTCCTGTCTTCGCGGTGGTTGGTTAGGCATGCCAGCCAATCCGTCCGAGGTGCTCCCACATGGGTCCGTGACGTCACCATAAGATCTGGCCAATGGAAAACA